GTGTGAGGGTGAGGGGCGGGGCTGCATGGCTACCTGCCAAGTTGACTTACCAGCAGGGGTTTCTGCTGAGGCCGCAGAGCTCCTGGTGGGGAGGAGCCCCTGGCCGCAGGGAGGCTGGCGTGGCTCTGACATCCTGTTCCTCCATCTTGCTTATGGGTGTTCTGTCTGTGACCCACGTTTGCACTGTGTGGTCCAGTGAGCCTGGGGATGGCCATGGGTCGCTTATTGCTAATGACAGGGTCCAGGGGCGTCCAGCCTGAGCCACACCTGTGCGTCCCTGTGGACGGGGCAGGTGCCAGCATCCCCACCTCCCTGCACAGTGCACGGCAGGTCCCAGGGAGGCCGAGCCTGGACAATGTGAGGTGCATGTCCCAGTGGTTGGGGCAGGGTCCTGGGGACTGTCCCACCCCTCCCTTCCCAGGTTGGAAACTGAGCCTGGGTGAGGGCAAGTCTGTGGGACATGGCAGTGCAAGGAGGCCACCTGGGTTTAGGCAGGTCACTCAGGAAATTCTCCCTACCCCCCAGGAACCCCAAGTGGACATGACCCAGGAGGCTATGCTGTGGACTGTCTCTGCCACTTCCTGGCTGGGTGACCTTAGACAACTTAAGCTCTCTGAGCCTCACCCTCCTCATCTATAAACAGTATTGAGCTCATGCAGGTGAAGCTGTTAGAATATATGTGGTCCCAGTGAATATTCCAGAACACTGTAGCTGTCAATTGCTGACTACACAGGCCGTGGAGTCGCAGAGTCTGGGGTCGGGGACCCACGCTGCCACTCACAAACTGTGTGACCTTGAGAGGCCACCTTGGGAGGCAGAGCCTCCAAATTCAGGTACGGCTACCATGACAACAATAGCTAGTGTGGTGACAGCATTTTCCATGTGCCGTGCTCTGTTCTGGCGTTTCACACGTGTTCGCAGGCTGACTCCTCAGCTGCTCCCTGTAAGTGGGAACCGTGTTACCCCCGCTCTACAGGTGAGGAGACGCAGCCACGCAGCCAGTAAGTGGCAGAGCTGGGCTTGAGTTCAAGCCAGTCTGGCCTCAGAGTCCACGTCCCTCATTGTTGCACCTGCTACTTCTGTAAAAACAGGGACAGGAAGTCCACCTTGGGATGTCACATGAGGACCAAATAAGGTCAAAGACTTAATTTTAATGAAATGAGATAATTTAGCAGAGTGTCCTGCACTTGGCAGTAAATAATTGTCTTCTGCTGCAGTGGTGATGATAATGATTACGGCGATGGTGGTGGTGTCGATGGTGAGGATGGTGAGGATGGTGGTGATGATGATGGTGGTGGTGATGATGGTGGTGGTGGTGATGGTGATCATGATGATGGTGACGATGACAGTGATGGTGATGGTGATCATGAAGGTGATGGTGACGATGACAATGATGGTGACGATGACAATGATGGTGATGGTGACAATGATGATGATGCCGATGATGATGGTGATGACTGTGATGATGATGATGATGATTGTGTCCCTCGAGACCTTTCCCTGCCCCTCAGGGCCGTGTCCCAGGCGGAAGTGTGACTGTTTCTGGGAGCCGAGGACAGGGAAGGCCTGTGCAATGGGAGTCTTTCATAAGACGGTCAGAGATGATGTCTTTTCTAAAGGGTCCCTTTCTCTTATAAAATAGCGATAGGAGAGGGGAATTTATTTTTTTAATGTCCTTACTGAGCCAGATTAAAAACTTGGTAAAGCTCGTGTTCGTCTCCCTCCCGGCTGTGTTTAAAATTGTACTGGTCTGTGAAATCCCACAGTCCGGGGACCACCAGCTAACTGACCTGGCCTAGAAGCAGTTCCCTCTCTGAAACATGATTTTCCTCTGGTAAACACAAGCACGTGTGCGCGCACACACGTGTTCCACTGCACACTCCCCGCTCTGCTCCTGCAACCTGCAACCCCTGGCCTCAGCTGGGAACCTGCTCTAGTCAGCTCTCAGAGCCCAGCCGTTCCCTAGACAACCAGCACAAAGCTGCCACGTGGGGGCCTAAAGGACAGAGGTAATTAAGAATGATAATAGCAATTACTAGCCGGTCCCTGTGGGCCTTCACTGGCTGCAGGAGCTACTCTGCTTAACCCCGCAGAAAGGTTAAAGTCTCGCTTATCCTTCCATACGGATGGCCCCTGCGTGGATGCATCGCCTGGCCACGTGCTCCCTCCACATCGCTGTCAGCCTGCGGGGGCCCCTTGCCCCGCCCAGCGAGGGCCAGCAGCAGCCTTGGGACCCTTCTTCACCCGCTTCTAAGATGCTGAGCCCTAGGGAGCAGAGCCTGAGGCCCCACCCTGCTGAGTCCTTCCAATCCCTGCACTTGGGGCACAGGGCCTGGCTCCCAGGGGCACCTGACAAATGGTGACCGGAATTGAACGTGTGCAGAATGCAGGATGCCGGGGCGGAACGGGAGGAGGACACAGGGCATCTGAGCACGTGTGGTCCAGATGCCCAGCACAGGGCAGGTGCGTGCAGCTTGGCTGCACCAGTGCCCAGCCTGGGGAGGGTCGCGTGCACTCAGGCCACTCTGGCAGTATGTGGCACGTTTTTATGTGCTAATCACACAATGTGTCCCTTCAGTTAGGTCAGCGAGCATTGACATTGGAGATCTGCTAGGGGTTAGATAGCGGGGGGTGGGTAGGGGTAACACGGAGAGAAACAAGGCCCGGTCCCCATCCCTGAGCATCGTGGCGAGGACGGGGCATCTGAGGGTCAGAGAGTGTGCGCTGTGGTTACCCGCGTGGGCGCTGGAGCCCGTCTGCCGGCCAGGCTGCCCATCCTGGCCGGCTGTTTAGTGGGTGTGTGACTTCGTCTTGGCAGCCCTTGCTGTCCTCATCCACGGCCACAGACCCAGGGAAGGACTGGGTAAATGTCAGTGAGGATGAAGATGGTGGTGACGCAGAGAGATGGAGCCAGGCAGAGGACCACAGCTCGTTAGCTGTTTTAAGTCTGCAGTCCGATATTTTGTATCTCAGTAACCTTTTTCGTTGTATAACAAAGTGACAGAAATCCGTATTATTGGCAACTTTATTTTTGGCAATCTATTTACATATAATGTATGACTTTTCTTGAAACTTAAATTGCTTATTTTGTTCACATAATGTCATTCTTTTAATTAGCTCTGCGAAAGGAGACCAGCGTTAGTCAGCGCCAGAGCGTGCTGTTGACAGCCACCACGCCGTGTAACTGTCACACCTGAGTAAGGAGCAGGGGATGAGCGGCGCATTGTACGCAGGCAGACATTTAAGATAGCAGGATGCTTTAAACGTAAATGAGACGATTCCTTTAAATCACAGGTGCCTCCCCGGGGGGGCACCCACAGTCCTGAGCAGGGCTTTGCAGAGCCGCGCTGAGCGAGTGGGAGGGAGACGGGCTGCCCCCCCTCCCCGCCGGACTCGAGGGGCCTGCAGAGCAGCGTGTGCGCCCCCACTGGCTGGTCATGGCCACTTAGCAATCGAATATGCGAATGTCGCTTACAGCAGGGCCTGGAACACAGGGAGCGCTCAGTGAGTGTCATGGTGATGGTCACGATGACGCAGTGGCTGTTCAAGGAACCATGAGTGTTGTATCGTCCGAGCCTCTGGGGTTCGTCGGGAGCCACGGGGAAGGGGTGGAGAGGCAGGTGGGGCCGGGTCCCAGGGGACCTGTCTGCCTGCACAACAGGGAGGGCAGTGCTAGCTGCTGTAACAGAGACATCCCGAGAGCATGGCCTAACACGATAGAAATTCAGTTCTTGTTCACGTAACAGTCCCGTGCACAGAGACCAGGTATCTTGAATGTTGACTCCAGGTGTTGACTCCGCCATCCCCCGGGGCCTGGGAGGCCTGAGCCATGAGCTGGCAGGAGCCACTGAGAGGACAGGGAAGGCACACTGGCTCCAGCAGAAGCCCAGGCTGGGGTGGGGGGTGCTTTCTCCACCCCAGAGTGTGCTCGCATCCCACTGGTGAGAACTGCTCAGGTGGCCACACCCAGCCACAAGGGCAGCTGGGAAATGTAGTCCTGGGCCCGGGACACCTGCCTCCTCCCGGCCCCGTGGAACCCCAGGCTGTACAGAAAGGACGTGCACTTCCAGGGAGCAGCCAGCTGCCTCTGGGCACTGAAGGAGCCCAGACTTCCTCAACACCCTTACCTGTGTTCACTTTTGAACTGCAGGTGTGCATTTTGGGGTTCAGGAGAAAGAAGCACATTCACCTTAGAATATGGGATGGAGGAGGCTGACAACAGAGAGAGAGTTGTTTACAGAGTTTAAATTAGATTTTGAGCCATTTTCCTGAAGTCAGTTGCATAATTTCTCTGAGTTTTTTGAAGGGTTTGGGAAGGAGATTGTGTAGGAAATCTTATTTTGGGAGGAAATTATCCAATCGGTAAACGGGGGGCCGCCGTATTTCATGTATTTGTGTTGTGGGTTTTTTTCCTGCTTCTAGCACTGGTCATCTGTTAAATCTAATTACATCGCTCACATCGTCTCCCATGAAATTTACGCTAAATCTGCTGAGTAAGGGAGGCAAACAGAGGACTTAATTAGAAATGTTAATCATGTTTGTTTGGTGTTTTTTTTTTTTTTAATGGAGAAAGCAGCTATAATCAGGAAAATAACAATAAACATTCTTTCTTTCCCCAAAGGCAGCCATCTGCAGGTTGTCAGATTGCAAGGGGGCTCAGTGGCACCACTTCAGAGCAGTGTTCTAGCGGGTTCCATGTGCCAAGGGGGCTGTCACCGTTCAGCCCGAGCTCTGCGCTCTCTGCTGGGTACAGTGTTTTTCCTGCCTCCTCCCTGAGCTGGGCCTGCGGGACTCTGTGGTCAGCACCGGGTTCATAAGCGTTTCCCCAATTCCGCAAAGTCACACCTGGAACCAGGTCTCATCTTCCTCCCAGACCATTCCCAGGAGGACGGACTTCATGCTTCGTAGGGATAAATGAGAGGCCCCGCCAGCCTCGTGTGGGTTCAGCATTTGCGGACCGTGACTTTTCTAAACAGTGTTTCTCTTCCCTCTCTGTACAGAAACCCGTGCGGACCGCAGCAAGAAACTCTTCAGGCACTACACGGTGGGCTCCTATGACAGTTTCGACGCCTCCAGGTGAGACACGCTTCTTTCTCTGCCAGGACCCTCTGGCTAAAGATGCTCCTTCATGCTGCAAACGCTCTGGACTCTCTTGCTTCCCGACCGCTGTGCCTTGCTTCCCCTGTGTGTCCATTGTCCTCTACAGACCCTGCCTGGCAGGTGGTTCTTGGTGGATGCTGAAAACATCAGGATGGCAGGGGCCTGCGCCTGGCCCAGCAGGCCAGCTGTGGCGCCCTTTCCGAGAGGCCTCGAGGAGGGTCAGACTAAGGGAGGGTCCAACACCCTGCCCGGGTTCTAACCCAACTCCAGGGAGTCTGTGATGAGCAGCTCGGACCTGCTCCCTTGACTCTCCCCTGCCTACTGAGAAGTCCAACCTGGGTTGGTGGGTTTTTTTTTTTCTTTAATCGAGGTAAAATGTATATAACCTAACAGTCAGCATTTTTAAGTGCACAGTTCAGGGGCATTTAGTACGTTCACAATATTGTGCGGCCATCGCCGCTATCTGGTTCCGAAACATTTTCGTCACTCACTGGCCGTCACTCCGTTCTCCTCTCCCTGCAGCCCCGTTTGCTTCCCGTTTCTGTGGATGTCCCTGTCCCAGTGCTTTGTGCAAAGGAGTCCCACAATACGTGGGCTTTTGGGCGTGGGTCCTTCCGCTCGGCATCCCGTGCTCGAGGTCCGTCCGCGGCGCAGTGCATGTCAGCGCTTCGCTTCCCCAAGCCTCCACCCCCGGCATTTTCCTATTGTGGCGAAATCCACGTAACATACAGTTTTCTGTCTTAACCATTTTTAAGCGTGCAGTTCAGTGGCATCAAAAACATTCGTATTGTCGCGCAACCATCACCACCGTCCATCTTCAGAGCTCTTTTATCCTGCAAAACTGAAGCTCTGTCCTCGTCAAACGCTAACTCCCCATCCCCTCCCCCGCCCCTGGCACCCCACTCTGCTTTCTGCCTCTGGATTTCACTACGCCGGGGCCCTCGTGTCAGTGGGACCACACGGTATTTATCTGGCGTGACTGGCTCCTTTCACCCATCAAGTCCTCGGGGTTCACCCATGTTGCAGCCGGTGTCAGAACTTCTGTCCTTTTTAAGGCTGAATCACGTTCCACGGCAGGGATGGACCACGTTTTGCTTGTCCATTCACCCGCCAGTGGACACTGGGCTGCTTCCACCCTTCGGCTGCTGTGAATGGTGTTGCCACGGACATTCGCGTGTAAGCGTTTGTTTGAACCTGGCAGTGGAATTGCTGGTTTTAACGCTAACGTGTCCCTGCCACCTCTCCCGTAAACAAGATGTGCTATGACACGAATCCCACGCCCAGCAGGGAGCCGGGACCCCCTGCAGGAGGTGTTGCCAACTTTCCAGGTCTTGCTACGATTGCCCACTTTTTGACCTTGAAGCCAGGTTGTGATCTGTGTCCTGGAGCACAGCATAGGCCTTTACTTGGGCAAGATGAGTTGTCTCTGCAGCAGCAGAGACCTCCTGTCCAGGTGGACCCTGCACAGGTGGCCGTGGTCACTTGGCTGTCACACTGTGCTTCCATTCTAGCGAGGAGGGTCTGGCGAAGCCAGTGGCCCACAGTGCCTGAGGCTCAGGGAACACCCAGAGGAGTTATCACCGTGGTCACCTCGAGGGCTGCCCAGGTGGGCCCTGGGGTTCAGGTGAGAAGTGCCCTCCCAACACTGGACCAGTCCAGGCAGTAGCCTTCCCTCAGGCTGTGGCTTTTGCAGGGCTGTTTCCTCCCCAGGTGGCATCTCCGGGGCAGGGAGGCGTGTGCGTGTGCGTGAGGGTGGCGTGCACACGCACTCAGCATTGAGGTGGGCTCCACACTCAGCGCTGCTTCCCACAGAGGGGCGTTGGAAGGACCTGACTAGATAGACCCAGGACAAGAGATGACGAAGGGGCCGGGCTGGCGGGGGCCACGTCACCAAGGGGTGACCCTTGTCTAACAGCAGGACTGGAGGCCACTGGGGACACAGTCTGCAGCTCAGCTGACAGGAGACGTGTGGAACTTCTGTAGCTGTTCAGCAACGAAATTGGCTGCCTTGGGGTGATGAGCTCCCTGACACTGGAGGGAGTCAAGCAGGGCGGGGGATTCTCTTGTCAGAATGTCATAGAAGGTGGGACTGTGTGACCCCCAAGACCCTCCCAGCTCCGGGTCCCTGTGTTCAGGGCCCAGGTAGGGCTCTGTTTTACGTGCACACAGAGCACCTGCTCTGTCCCAGGAGCTGGGACCACAGAGGAGAGGGATGTCCGGGCCACCCCGGGGTCAACTGGTGGCTTCTAAGCAAACGGGAAAACGTTCTGTCCTTGAATGAAATGAGGACTCGGCGCCTCTTGTCGCATGGGGAGGGATCAGACAGACCTCGGGCCTCACGTGACCGATGTTTCAGCACGAGAAACCAGAGTGTGATAGCACCGTGTGTCCATCTCCGCCCAAGCGCTGGCACCTTGCGCTGATCACAGCTCTGCCCCTCGAGGACCCTCCGGGTGACCTTGTCAGGCAGGGGTTATGTTGCCCTTGAGAGAAGGACACTGCAGATGAGAAAGGAAGGCCGAGCTAAAGTGTTGGCCCTCAGCATCATGGTGCACGCCTGTGATGCCAGCTACTTGGGAGGCCGAGGCAGGAGGATCGCTTGAGCCCAGGAGTTTGAGGTTGCATTGAGCTGTGATGACGCCACGGCACTCTACCCAGGGTGACAGAGCAAGACTCTGTCTCAAAAAAAAAAAGAATGAATGAGAAAATATGTTTAGTGCTTGCAGCGCCTAAGAGGCATGTGCTATATAAATCCAGAGGGGTGCTGAGCTGTGAGCAGCATGTGTGGGTAGCTGGCTCCTTTGACACCCTAACTCTGTTCTAGAAGATGGCCTCAGCGTGTAGGGTAAGAACCGAATGGCAAGAAACACTGGGTTTCCCCCCGTTCTTCCTTCACCATTATTTTGTAATTTTGTATGTTTTTTACCATTTCTTAGACTTGAAAAAGAGGGACCCATCTCTGAGTGTGTTCACTGGCCAGACGCAGGAGGAAACATACTGCCCTTTACTCTCGCTTGACGGGGGTCCTGGCCATCAGTCACGACCCCGCAGGGCAGAACTTCTGGGGCACGTTGTGGGCAGAAGAGATGATTTCACTTCTTATTTCATACATTTTTGTATTTTTATTTTTTGCAAGTATGTAGTGCTTTTGTAATTTTTTGAAACAGAAAGAGAGGGGGCTCTCTGGGTGTAGGCACAGGAAGACGTCAGGACCACCACAGACCCCGCTCTTCTGTCTCCCGGCGTGGCACAGATGGCCGCCGGGGGCCCGATGTCCATCTGGGGGAGTCATTCTCCAGGGGGCGCTGCTCTTCTCCCTGCGGTCGGCTTCCTGGCGGAGCCTGCCCCGTACCCAGGCTGGCCAGAAGGCCCTCTGCCCCCTTCTCCCTCCCACCCTCATTCAGCCCATCAGGGGTCCAGGAGTCCTGCCTCCTCCCCACCCTGCTGCTGCTTCCCTGGGTCCCCCTCCCTCTCATGTGTTCTCTGTAACCCCCACCCTCTGGCTGCCCCGAGGCCCCACCCCTCATCCATTTCAGTGAACTCTTGGTTTGACATTTTCCTCCCTACATAAATTTTGATCCAAGCACTACATGGGTGCAATAAAATTAACTAATTAAAGGAAAACACCCTGACAGGGCTAAGGATGGAAAGAGATCACCGCCCGCCCGCCCCGCCCCAGCCTTGGCCACACAGCCCGCTCCGCAGAGGAACTGCTTTTCAAACTTTTTGCGCTCCGTTCCTCTGATGGTTACCTCTGCACACCCACTTGGTTCTTAGTTTAAAAGTGTGAAACATCCTTCCTTTGCTAGAAAAGGTGAGGCTTTCGTCATTCTGTCCCCACCTGCGATTGTGAATAGCTCTTGCCAGTCTGCAAATTGATTGCCTTGAAGTCACACTCTGAGATTCCTCTCTCTTGTTTAATAAATTTTAGACAGGATCGCTTGACCCTTTGTTACATTCGTATTTAAGTCTTCCAGCTTCTGTCTATAAGTTGGATTCAAAAGTTTAAATCCAGCAGAAAGCATTATCAGTTAATATCATTACTGAGATGATATAAATGTTTATGTTGGCACCAGGAATGGGGCTAGGATTCCACTTCCCCTTTACAGACCCGTGGGAGGAAGGGTCTTCCTAATATCGCAGCTCAGTGTATGCTTTTTCTTCCGCTCTATCAATTGTTCAGAGTAATCTCATATTTTAGCTTCATTTTAGGATCATGAGTTTCACACGAGGTTTTTGTTTTTCCTGGAGTTTCTGATAGCCTTTCTTTTTTTCTTGTGGGAGGAGAATTATGTCTTCTTGAGCCTGCCACTAACATGTCATCCTGTTTCTTACGTGTCACCGGAATCCACCCATTCTTACTGGGGAGTCCTCTGACACTCTGCTGCAGATGACTCCGGTTCTCGGTACACACCTGCCACTCTGCAGGCTCCCTTCACTGAGCTCGGGATAAGTGAGTTGTTTCTTGTCTTTGCCCTTGTTCTGCTGGGGTGCATCCTCAAGTAACACCTTCAACGAAGGTATCTGGAGTGTAAACTTTTGTGTCTGAAAATCCCCCAGTTATTGTACACTCTCAATGTTGTAGAATTCCAGGCTCAAAATAGTTTTCCCTCGTGAACTACCGAGGCATTGCTTCACTGTCACTGTGCCTCTACGTACCGCCGGCAAAAAGTCACGATGCCGTCTGATTCTCAGTCCACTGTACGCGACCCTTTATTTTCCTTTCTGGAAGTTCGTAGGAATGTCGAGGTTTCTCCTTTTTCTTCACGTTCTGGAACCTGATGATGTGTCTGTTTGTGGGTCTCTTTATCTGTTACATTCCCTGTGCCCGAGGCTCCATCAGACTGAAGCAGCTTTGGCTTCGCGGGTCTCCTTTTACCAATCCCTTGGCGGTGCCCTCACTTTCTCTCCGTCAGTTCGGTCTTTCTGGATTTCCGGTTGGACCGTTTGCGTTCATCCCACTTACCACTGAGTCT